GTTACGTCCTGTTCAATATAAAATTCTACTAGACGACATTAGATGGCTACATCGAACAGTAATACATTTTTCATAAATCCTGACTAGATAAAAAAATATATATATATATATATATATATATATATATATATTATATAGATAATATACATTTGTTTGTCTGCAATATCCGACGTTGTATCTCATCGTATAACCTCCAGTTGGGAAAGAAAACATTTTCAACTACAAAGGCGCATATTGTTCACATGAAAATAGAGATGGGCACGGAATGTCGGGGCAAGCGGGCGGAACCGGACCAAAATTATTTCCCGACACTCCCGATAAAACCTGTAACCTCCCCAAATTCAGAAAATCTTCATTAAAAACATCGATTGAAATAAGCATTTTTTTTTGTTTTATTGAGACGAAAACGAAAAGTAAAGCTAAAGAAAATAATCAGAAGGTGCTCGATCTTTTATTTTCTTACTATTTAAAATTAATTTGAGAGACATGTGAATTTCGGGACTCACGAGACCCGCGGTACAATTTTGAAAAACGCCGGGAAGGGCGGGTTCGGGAATTAAATTTGAATTCAATTTCGGGATGAGCGGGAAAGGCATTTCATCAATTGTTCATTTATTTTAATAAATAAAGATACATACATACATACATACATATAAACATTACGAATATGTACTATGCACTATCTTTGAAAAATGGAGGTAAAGTTCTGTTGAAATGGGATTGTTTCTAATTTTCTTCATGTCTTTATATTTTGCATGTTTTTAGCGAGTTTGTTATTAGAAAAGTAAAAATATTTGCATTTTTGATTCCGTATTTAAATCCAAAATTGGCTTAATAAATATCTGAGGAGAAATACCTTAACCCACGAAGTCATGTGTAGTATAAATGGTTTTTATGAAACTACTGGATTTTGTATGCGTTTTTTTTTTTAGAATTTTTTAAATGAAGTATCTGAATCTATGCGGTTTTTAAAAATTCTGGGACGCATCCGCTGTTTTTGCATCAAAGTAAAGAACCTTTTTAGGGGGCTTTCTGAGGAACGCATTTACCGCATAAAAATAAAAAGACCTGAGTGTATTTAGGTTTTAATGCATACACATTGTAACGCATTAAGCGGTGGTTAAGCGATCCATTAGCGCGAAATCCAGACTGTTTGCTAAAAATGATACGTTTGGTTTAACAGACAGATTTGACGCCCGTCAACACGAAAATGGCAACCCTTTATTATCCGCATTGTTGCTAAGCAAACCTTTTTGATATCCGTTAAATGTTTGGCGTGAATGAGTTTTTGCCATTTAATGGCGAGCTGTCGTGCTTCAACCTTGAGTAATTGTCTTTCTTATTATATATATAATAAGATATCTTACACAATTCGCGTATGTTGCGAAATTTACATAACGCACTTATGACTGTACCTATGTATGTAGTGTATGTGTGTGTATGTACCTATGTATGTGCAACTCGATGCGTGTCTAATGTACTCGATAATTAATCAAAGGCTCCATGAAGTTAAGAACATCGCTAAAATAGGTTAATGTTGTTGTCACTTTGGCCATCACAAGCGTAGCGTCTTAAGTTGATACTTGTATTCGCGGGAGAATGATAGGTATGATGAATGATGAGGAATTGCTTGAAAGTCGGCAAAATCCGCGTGACATTAAGTGTATGCATGCGTTTGGCTGACGCATATGTACATACGTACATACGTATCTAATGTTGTAGGGTAGGGCTAAAAATTTAAAACCGAAAGGGTAAGCAATAGCCGTTGTACGTGTATTAACCCAGTTTATGCAATGTATATTGCCAAAGGCTATAGTAATCACTTTTTTGTTTATAGAGAAAAAATTGCTAACTAGACTTCTAGTCTATTTATTTATTAGAAATAGTTAAAAACCATAAAAAGCCACATTCATAGTGGTCAGGGATGCCAACTCATTTTATAGCTCTACCAATTTAATTATATTATTATTTAAATTATTATTTATTTTATTTATACATAGCTTTAATTTAAGCCTAAATGGAAGGTTCTATCACCTTTTGTTTTTTTTTTTGCTATACCTTCTAAAATAATGCAAAAAACACGATTTTTTACACTTTGACCTAGTATTTGTCAAAATCTGGAGCTGATGAAAACTTTAAACAGCTTTAACATTTGCCGCAACGAAATCACTGTTGCCTTGTGTACTTTTAAATGTTGGATCTTATTTTGCCGAAAGGATTTTTTATTTCTTGCTGTTAATGGTTAGATTCCAGAAGGTCCCAAAATGTTAACAAAAATGTTACATTTATGTTTTATATTACTGAACTATGAAAAATCAGCTGCGAAGTGCATACGGAAAGCGTATTTGAACGAAAAAGCCGCCAAGCAAAAATCTATTTAAAGCAAACAAGCCCGCGCTGTATCCCTTTTTCGATAGTTCCTAATCTAAAGCTCTAAATTCGTCATTTTGGATATAGATTTGTAAAAATAAAATTGCTTTTTAAAAGTACCACATGTCGCTGCTTTTGAACTGGTTGCGATGTAGTTACTATCGGACGGGTTATTTTGCGGCAATAAAGATCTAGTACGGAACTATAAATTTGGTTCACCAGTTCGGGGTTTCCCTACAGGGAATCGGCTCCCTTAGCAAGGCGCTGTGTGTAGTTTCGTGTGTGTGTGTAACCTTTTGTAAGGGAGTGTCAAATGTCACTAGTGAGCAAATCTTTAATTATTCAAAAATTAAATAAACTTGTTAGGAAATTTAAAAAAAATTGTAACAGTGATTTTTTGATGCAGTTTACTTCTATTTGACACGTAGATCATGCATCCAATTTGCCCCAAATTTCGTTTGGCAACATTCCGCCATATTGGATTTTATTTTTGGGGTTTTTGCGATTCGTAAGCTTATTTTGCATTTTTTCGTAAAAAATGGTTTAACACAAATATTCGTTTACCACATTTGTTATATACATAGATGGTTTTTTTTTTAATAACATTGTTTATTGTGAAAAATTAGCAAATACTGCGAAAAAATTTTACATTGTCACGGTTTTCCCCATTTTTTAACAATTTCCGTTGAAAGTAAAATTTTTTCGCAGTTTTTGCTAATTTTTTACAATAAGAAATGCAATTTTTAAAAAACCTTCTATACGAAAAATGCAAAATAAGCTTACAAATGGCAAAAAAACCCAAAAAAATAATTTAAATCCAAGATGGCGAAATGTTGCCAAATGAAATTTCAAATAAAAGTAAACTTCATCAAAAAATTTCTGTTACAAATTTTTTTTAAGAAAAAGTCTAATTTTACTGGGCTATACGAAAACATAATATAGTCGCCGCCGCATCTACTATATTTACTTGTTCAGTTCCTGAAAGCTGTTTTTGTTTTTGAAACCTAAAAACAAAAAAACAACAATTGTGTCTGTTTCAGCTGTTAAGTAAAATGTTTACCATTTTGTTTCAATAAATTCACCGTTGTTTTTTTTTTCAAAAACAATGGTGAGAATGTGTTTACTTGTGGCTTCCCCCATGCACATATGTCGACATAAATTCATTAAAGCTCATTCATAAAAAAGTAAATGATCAACATTTATTGCATTCTTTCATAAATGTCAGTAAATAAATTTACTGACAAATCAAGCAAAAGTAAATTGTTTTGCTATTAATAGAAATCCACATACTATATTTCATATATTGGACCCAACTGTATAAACTAAATGAAGCTAGAAAAATACTTGCTGTTACAGCTTCAGATAGCGCAATATTTCCGTTATTTTTATCGACTACAAACCGAAAAGTGTCTACAGTTATTTTCACTTGACTGTACATAAAGTTTGTTCACGCTACAAAAATGGGTAATAGAGAGAGCGAATACGTTCCAATTTTGGATCGTAAATGTCTTCTTCTGCTTTGTGCCCGAAAGAGCCTGGACTTTTTTTCAAATTGTTTACATCCGAAAGCAAATTTTAGCTCTGATCCAGTACTCCATGAACCTACAGGTTTTTACACGAACTTGCAGGAAGTTACAGGAAAAATGATCCCGTACTCCAAATTCCTCTAAAATCCTGTAAATGAGAGCGATTTTTGGAGAGTTGTGAAGAAGATAATTCCATCTGCTGCTGATTTTGCGAGTGTTCGCGGTGATGTACATATGTATGTAAATAGCTCCCAATTTCAAATCTCAATTCAGACTGATGCAACCCTCATAAATTTAATGTACAAGTATGAATGAAGCTTTGACATTGAATTGTCAATAGACAATGGCAGTTAATGTGGTATGTAATAATATTTTTGTTATTGTTTTAGAATGTTATGTGACAGCACCAGCCAACTATGCAAATGAGAAGTAGTAAAACATTGTAAATAATGAAATGTTAGGGCATGGCGCCAAAATCAAGTTTTCAATAGCAACATAAGTTAAGTGAATTGTTTTCATAAAAATGTATGTACGTACATACGTAAATACGCAGCAGTGGTGTTAGGGATACAGTTTGGTAGCTTAATTTCTTTTTATTTTAGATAAAGATTAACACTAAATATAATCTAAAAAAATTAGAACAAGTAAATGTGGACTTGACTTTAAATAGTACGTACATATGTATGTATGTAGTTGGTATTCCGCGCGTTGACAAAGTTCACGCACGCTTTCCATAAATTTTTAATTTTTTTTTTTAAAGCCAAAAATTGGGAATCGGTCGGACTCTAATCTAAACATCATTACGAGCAGTCATCAGTCTCTTTTACTTCTAAACTAAAACTAATGGAAATGCCTTATTTACGCAACTAAGTTCTAATTAGGCATTTAACCGTGGTTGCGCATATTGGAAAATTTCATCAATTATAGTTTAGAAATAAATGCGTCTGATGCTTTGGCTTGATGCATTACTGAATACACCCTTAATTACGAAAAAGCATCTGTGAAGTGCTAACCATAAAGCATATACATACGTACATATGTGTGTACATATTTGTTAACTTTTTTAATAAATTTATTTATATTTTTTTATTTTATTTTTTGCAGTTACATTCACAGATTCTCGTAGTTGAACACCTTCAAAACGTTCATGCGACTACGCCAAAGAGCAAAAGTATACTTTTAACAAAAATATGTCTGATACCTCATCTTTCGAAATGAGCTCTGTCGATCGCCCAGTAAATCGCTTTCAAGTGAATCCTGTTAACCACAAAGCGAATGAGATGATACAACTTAATGTGCCACAAGAGGTCTATCGGCGTTTGGTAAATAGCGATGGAGAAGCATTGGAAGACGACACTTTCAATGAAAACGCTACCGATATCTTAAACAAACAAAATTTGCAGCGAACACATAGGTAAGATTTTAGGTTACTATTACCTATGTGTGTAAACAAGGAGGTGGCGGAATGAAACAATTAAAATGTGTAAGAATTTTCCAACAGGGTCGGGAATGCAGGATCATAATCGCGTTAGGTATAATTTATTTCAATTAAACTTAACATTCAAAATATTTTCTAACTAAAACCTTCTTAAACGTCTATTAAATATCTCCATAATTCCCTTAATTCAAGTTAAATTTAATTTATCAAGCCAGTGGCAATCCTCCCTCATGCAATTAAGAAATACAACTTTTTCAAAACTATTTCGATAGATACCCATACTGTAATAATTTATTTAACTTATTGAATAATTTGGTGACAACCCTCTTCAAATACATACCTAAAAAAGTAAGTACGCCTGGGCCACACTGTAGAAGTGAAACTTACGTTACTTATTTATTTATACATATACACATCTGCTTTTGCTTAAGGTTATATTTTTTCGCTTTTTTTCTATCAATGTAGATCCCTACCTCTTCCACTGTTCGTTTTAATAACATTCATATTATTCTGTTTTTCCATTATCTTCATTTTTATCTTCATACTCTATCGATATAACGCCCATCAAAATATCGATAGCAAAATCGAAGACAAATTCGATAAAAATTTCAATAGCAACATCGATAATACCATTGGTAGCTTAATCGATTAGAAAATCAGTAAAAATATCGGTAAAAAAATCGATAAATATCGATAACAAAATCGATAAATATCGATAACAAAATCGATAAATATCGATAACAAAATCGATAAGAATCGATAACAAGATCGATAAAAAAATCGATAAACATCGCTAACAAAGTCGATAAATAGCGAGAACAAAATCGATAATTATCGATAACAAAATCGTTGAGAGGGTGGATTTTTTTCGCTTTCAACGTCGTGTATATGAACACGCGACGCTACCCCGAGGGTAATACGCAGTCGGCGTCGTCCAGGCCTGTTTCTAATTACGAATACCTTACTTAGATTATCTAGCTTGGGTTAAATCAAAAGGCGTTTCCAAAAATCTACCCCTCAACGTTGTAAATGAGTCATATTAAATTGCCTTCCACCATAGCTACTACTATTGAGGAGTCGACAAAAGCAATATCGTTAACTCAATTCAATGCAGACTTCATCATGTCTTCCCCCCCAAAAAATACATTTTTAAATCCATACTTTACATATTTCCTCAAATAGGCATTCTATAAAGAGCAGCTTTCGCGATAAAGACAAACCCTCAAGGTTCAAAGATTCCCAATCGCAAACAACACGATTTCAAGTAGCTCCCCCGAATGAGGAAGACTCGGACGACTCCAGTGGCACTAAGGAAGACCGCGATCTATTAGACAATGAGTATGACACGAAGTATGGAAAAAGTTTTCGGTAAGTCTACCCCCGAATCAATTAAAGTACATATTTATGTACATAGCTGTAAATCACACATGCATACATGCATACATACATACACAAATATTAATGATAAAATAAATCCTTGCAGACACTTCACCCGCGAAGCTTTGCCCAGATTGGACAACTATCGAAACATTATGTCAATTCAAGCTGCTTATCGTCCAACTCTTGATGAGTTACACAACGCAACCTTGACCGGAAAGGTAATTCCAACTAAATGATTATTTATTTATGTAGAGAATGAAAATCTAATGCATTCTTGCATGGCTGCGTAATTGAATTCTGTATGTATGTATGTATGTATTTATGACATATGCACCGTTTATATATCTCTTAAACTGTCGATTGTCTTCATGGCATCTTTTTATTTGTGCTTTTATTTTTTCTTCCGTTTTTTTTTTTTGTAACAAATTACTGCACTTGGTTTAAAATAGGTACAGTGTTTCTCGCCGTCACCCCTGTAATTCAATTACACCGAACATACAATCGCGCAGATATGGGCGCATACTCGTACATACATACATATTTACATTCCTCCGATTCTGTGCAGTTAAATATGGACTGGACTGGGCAATTACTCCCGACACAAAAGCCACTCATAATTTAATTAAGACCAATTTTTAATTGATGCGTCATTTAGTGAACTCAATGCGCCTTTTTGGCCTTTGGGAGACCGACGGTTTCTACACTACATCAATCCACATGGTTATATATGTATATATATATGTATATATGACATACATACCTACATTTATACATATTTGTATTCATCAGCCTAACTCCGTTACAGAAACTATAAATAAGACCCCTTTTAACATATATTCCAATACATTTTTTTTTACTTATTTTTTTTTTGTTTTTGTTTAACAGAGCGCCAGCTTAAGCCGCAATCAGGACCCTGAAGCGGCTAACATGAATGGAGCCTTCAAATTCGGTTGGATTAAGGGAGTGTTGATCCGTTGTTTGCTCAACATCTGGGGCGTAATGTTGTTTCTACGTCTTAGCTGGGTGGTGGGACAAGCCGGAATCATAGAAGGCTTCATTTTGATCCTGACAACGACCGTCGTTACGTGTGTCACTTCCCTGTCAATGTCAGCGATTAGTACAAATGGTGTGATTAAAGGGGGTGAGTGCAAGACTAGAGTGCGAAAGAGCCATTTAAAATACGTACATACATATTTGTAATGAAGCACATATTTTACTTGTATGTACTACATTAAAAACTGTATCACAGAAAAAGTTCAATTTGTTCCAAGCTATTTTGAAGAAAAACCACTGGCGTGCTTTGTTGAACTCGGCCAAAATCGCTTAGGCGGTTAGAGAGCCAAAGAAGAAGAAGAAGAAGAAGACTTTGAGAATATTTCAAGGGTGTAAACATTTTTTTCGGCACCCTGTAAAAACAGCTTAATCGTTTTTTCCTGTAAGGATATTAAAAAAAAAAACCTACTTTTTAGAATTTCGATTCTAAATATTTCCTTTAGGATGACGATAACCCATGCCTACTTGAAGTTGAAGTTTCGGTTAAAAAGTTGTACGGAATTCGCCACACTATTCGAAAAAAATTACTTACTTATGAATGTACATAAATACTTTCCTTTGAGTACTACGATACCAAGACCTGCTCACTGGGTCGTTTTGGCATATATCGGGCTTCAAAAACCTTCAGGCGAACTCCGGGGTAGACTTAGCCCCCTTATGTATATTGATCGCAACCTCTACAGACCTACCTATCATCATCACTCACAATTTACGTGCCCCTGAAACTAGACAAATATTGTGCCTTCTTTATTACTTTCATCATACTCTTTGATCTTCTGATCTTTTGGTATCACAACAAAGGATCAAAGTTTAGACTCAGACTAATGACGTTTGGGATTTATTCGGTACCATTACTGAGACTTTCTCCACCAGTTGCTAGTGCTTAGTGACCAGCACCATCCCAGACTATTAAACGTCCAAATTTAGAATAATCAATGACGCCAATAAAAAGTCCTCTTCCACCTTCACGAAGTACCCATGATCCTCCCTAATCGGTGAAGTGGTTAGACAACTGACTTGGTAGTTAGCGTTAGTGAGGTGGTAACTCGAGGGCGCAGGGCGTTCGGTGTTTGCTATTGGCCCCTCGGTACATTAGTTTTAGATTTAATTTTACGCGTGGCGGAAAAAAGAGGTTATTCGCTTGGACAGAGATCCACTGTAATCAGCTTATGACGGGGCTCAGACTGGATGGTCTTCAGTACCGGTTGTGAGAAGTATTTTCGTGTGGTGCGGTAATCTCAATAAAAGTTCTTAGCCGAAAGTTTAACGTCAAGTTTTGGGTTATCGTTATGCTATAGTTAATATAAATGTTATATACTTTAAATGGGACAAGATTATTCCATATAAAATTTTGCAACTAAAGAATTCTGTGACAACTTTATTTATGTGCATACATATGTACGTATTTTAATACTAATACCTTTGTATATTGAAAATTTTCCCGTTCCATTTCTTTGAAGGTGGGACATATTATATGATATCCCGTTCACTTGGTCCGGAGTTCGGCGGATCTATTGGTCTGATATTTTCACTGGCGAATGCCGTGGCTTGTGCTATGTATGTTGTGGGCTTTTGTGAGTCTATGTTGGATCTATTGAATAGTTTCGGTCTCAGTATTATTGATGGTGGTACCCAAGATGTGCGGATAATTGGCTGTATCACCATTTCCTTATTACTTATTATTGTTGTTGTTGGTATGGAATGGGAGGCGAAGGTAAGTAAATAGAGCAGACAGACATGTCTACATACCGCACGCATACATATACTATGTATTAAATAAATAATGGTTTACAAAACATTTCAGGCCCAAATTGGTTTACTCATAATTTTATTAGTAGCTATAGGAGATTTTATAATCGGTTCATTGATTGGCCCAAAGAGTGAATTGGAAAAAGCCGAGGGTTTTATCGGCTACAACTGTGAGTGCAAAAAAAAAAACCAATTGTGAATCAGGTTATAGCTTTCCATATATGTACTTTACTATTTTTGTGTCTGTAAAATGCAGTTACAATTTTCAAGGAAAATCTGTTCGCCGACTACAGAAAGGAAGAGGGAGTGCAGCACGATTTTTTCTCGGTCATAGCGATATTCTTTCCGGCAGCCACCGGTATTTTGGCAGGCGCAAACATCTCGGGCGATTTGAAGGTATTTAGAAAACACATTACTACATACGTATTAGAATTTTCACTCAAAATATCGAGCCATAACCGCCAAAATAACGTAAGCGACATTTTTTTCAAAATTTTATTTTAGATGCAGAAATGCATCTAGACGCTCTAGGAATATTTCTGCATCAAAAAGAAAATTTTGAAAAAAATGTCGCTTACGTTATTTTGGCGGTTAGGGCTCGATATGTACATATGTATGAATGCATAAAGGTGTGCAAAGAAAGCTTCTATCGAAATGGTTATCTGCATATATCCATATATCATTATCTGTATTTTTATCACTATCAACATTTTCGTTGCCAAAGGCTTAACGGACATTTAAAAGCTTAATACTGGTACGATTTTTACTTAAAAATAAAAAGAATTTAAGCCAGAAAATTTATACGATTTTAATTGTACAACTTTCTGCTAGGATCCACAAAAATCGATACCAAAAGGTACCTTGATAGCTATTCTGATTTCAACCGCTACATATCTGCTAATGGTTCTCATATGCGGAGCCACAGTGGCTCGAGACGCTAACGGAAATGTAGCTGATCTTATAAATGGCTCGTACGCTTTCCTGAATTGCACGCCAGGTAAGTTCAAAATGCTAACCAATGCTAATCATTTCATTATTGAACGTTGAATTCAAATTTCAAAAAATTTAGGTGAATGCAACTATGGCTTACAGAATTCGTTTCAAGTGATTGAGCTTGTTTCCGCTTTCGGACCTCTGATATATGCTGGCTGTTTTGCTGCAGCAATTTCTTCAGCCTTAGCCAGTTTGGTTTCAGCGCCAAAAGTGTTTCAAGTATGGGGCGAATAAGAATTGCCATTAGTTCTTGGAATGTTTATTACCGTGGTCTTCTTTATATATTACTACAGGCGCTCTGCAAAGATGAACTCTATCCGAAAATCGTGTGGTTCGCCAAAGGTTATGGCAAAAACAATGAGCCTGTCCGTGGCTATGTGCTAACATTCATCATCGCTGTTGCGTGAGTCATTTTGTTGAAGTTTTATTTCACACATAAAATTACATACACACATATGCAATATATGTATATTTAACTGAATATTCTGGGTTTTATATGAACCATTTTTTTTTGTTTTTGTTATTCGACCCGCTTGGCTTTCACATTGCAGTTTCATTTTAATTGGAGAACTCAATCTGATCGCGCCGCTTATTTCGAACTTTTTCCTTGCCGCTTATACGCTCATTAACTTCAGCACTTTTCATGCCAGCTTAGCTAAGCCGGTGGGTTGGCGGCCAACATTTAAGGTTCGTACATACTCGCATACATCTACTTTAGTACTTCAATACTTTGCTTACAGTATTACAACATGTGGCTTAGTTTGGTGGGTTCGGTGCTGTGTGTCGCCGTTATGTTCCTTATATCGTGGGCAACGGCACTCATCACATTCGTCGCAGTTCTGGCTTTATACTTAATTGTGGCATACCGCAAACCCGATGTCAATTGGGGTTCGACCACGCAGGCGCAGACGTACAAGAACGCTCTGATGTCTGTGCAGCAGCTGAATAATGTGGAAGAACACGTTAAGAACTATCGACCACAGGTAAATCTAGTTAAATGGTACTTTTTACCCCTTGGACACACTAACCTGTGAACTGCAATTACTATGCCCTTTAAAAGATACTGGTTCTATCTGGATTGCCAAATACACGCCCAGTACTGGTTGACTTTGCCTATATGCTGACCAAGA